ATCAGCATCACCATCATCAGTGTTGTTATCATCAGCATCACCATCATCAGTGTTGTTATCATCAGCATCACCATCATCAGTGTTATTATCATCAGCATCACCATCATCAGTGTTATTATCATCAGCATCACCATCATCAGTGTTTTTTTCATCAGCATCACCATCATCAGTGTTGTTATCATCAGCATCACCATCATCAGTGTTGTTATCATCAGCATCACCATCATCAGTGTTGTTATCATCACCATCAGTGTTATTATCATCAGCATCACCATCATCAGTGTTATTATCATCAGCATCACCATCATCAGTGTTATTATCATCAGCATCACCATCATCAGTGTTGTTATCATCAGCATCACCATCATCACTGTTATTATTATCAGCATTTTCGACTCCATCCTCACCATCATATGCATAATGTATCATCATCATTCTCATCATCATTCTCATCATTACCATCATCATCATCATCACTACTACTATCATCATCACCACCACCACCATCATCATCACTATTTTCGTCTTTGTCATCACCATTATCATCACCAACACCATCATAATCACCATTATTATCCTCACCACCATCATCATCATATTCACCAACATCATCATCACCACCACCACCACCATCATCATCATTATCATCACCACCACCACCATCATCATTATCATCACCACCATCATCATCATCTTCTTCATCTTCACAATTCTCATTATGATCATTACCATCGTCAATACTATAATAATCTTCTTTTGTATTCTGTACTGCTAGATTAAATGTAGCGTATCTTCATCTTTCAGTTGTTTGAAAGTATGGATGAGCTGTTGAGAAAAATGCCATTGTACCAGGTTAGTAAAAGATTATGCAATAAAATAACTATATCAGCTAGGTCTTAATACTATTTACAATATATTATTTATTAATAAACATAGACTTGATTTACCAGGAAAGCCATACCAAGAATTTTACAGGTTTTTCTTGCCGCACTTAACCTCAGTTTTGACTTCAACATATCCTTAATTTGGTTAACCCAAATTAAGTGTGTGTACAAGTCAAAACTGATGGGGTAATGGTTCCAGATTCAGTGATAGTTTAAGCAGGAGAAACAATTGTTCATTAGGTATCCAAACACTGAGAAGTGGATTGAGACACTGGGCACTCACTCCACCAGAAAGGACTGAACCTTTGTGGCTTGGGCAAAATATTTTCCCATGTCAGACTAATACCCCATTCACACCTAAACGTGTTTAGTTAAACTATGTTTTCATTAGGAAAAAAATTGAGAAACTATAGTTTACATGAATTATTTTACCAAAGAATGTGCAGTGTTCGTAGATAGTTTTTCAAACCTGTTTAGTTAAACCACTTTAAAACATGTTTAAGCCTTGGTGTGARTGGGGTATAAGTCTTATTACCAAGTATCACTTCTTTGTTTAATGGTTTTACATGAGAATATACATGATTATGGTCGTGTTTTCAACAAAGAATCATATTCTGAAAAAAGGACATGTAGTCAGAGATGGGAAAACATTACTCCCAAGGTAAAGAATTCCCTTGGTTTTTTCCTCATCCAGTATCTAGGATCAATCTTGCCTCGCCCTCAGTTTTGACTTCCACATATCCTTGATTTGTTTACCCAAATTAWGTATGTGTAGAAGTCCCAAACTGATGGGGTATTGGTTCCAGATTCAATGTAAATAGGAGAAAAAATTGTACAACAGGCATYCAAACATCGAGAAGTGGATTGAACTGCTAATTAATCATCTTCTGAGACACTGAATATGCACTCCCAACCAGAAAAGAATGGACCTTTTTGGCTTAAGTGAAATGTTTTCCCATGTCAGACCCCGTGTTATTACCAGAAGMATAAAAAGCCTGTGAGTCTAATGTTTTGGATTTCCTTGCGTTTTTAACAGTTCTACATGGGTCAAACATCATCAGAGTTCTTAGTCAAATGGAATCACTGGCAACATGAGTGTAAATCCCAGCTAGAGAGTGACACCTATGTGGCTGATCCTTACCTACAGACTTTGTGTGAGGTATCAATTGATTTGATCTATCTTAAACCTTACTTCATCCTTGCTCTTGTACTCTGAATATATATGTGACTTCATTGTACAACTGTTATTATTATTAACTGTTGCTTTGTGTTTTTTTTTTTAGATTCTTGCAGGCAAAGAGGAGGTCTTTGAGAACAGCATTATAAGGTAATTATATATTTATATTTATATTTATTACTTATCAAATGTCTAGGACTATAAGTTCATGTGGTACCAAAGGTTTTTGAGTGATTGATGTGAGTTCTATCAAGAAAATCCATGTCAAAGTTTAATTCAGATGAGGATGATTTTGCAACCTATTAAAGGCAATTATGTTACRTGAGTATTTGCAATGAGATTTTTTCCCACAGTGTTGCAGAATATGTGTCATTTTGTGTTGTAAGGTTTTGAATTGTTAACCAATGTGGAAATTACGCTAATTATTATATTCATCGCCGTGCCTGTGGTTGTCCTTTTGCAGAGATTCCTGTCCAACCTGGTATCAAATGCTGACTGCCAAGCTGTTGTAYTGTAATCCAGTTGTCAAGGTGTTTGATTTGCAATACCATACAGAGGTAAAATAAAGATACAAATAAGTAAAAGTCTTACATGTATTTCATAGAGCATTTTCACGTGACATCACAGCGGCCATGTTGATGTACCATAACAATACATTTTCTATCCTCCGGGAACTGAACTCTATTTTTATGCAAAAAGTTTCCTATTGTTTTGTACACCAATATGGCTGCCTTGTCATATGATTGAAAAGAGTCTTTGAGTGAATACTGACAGCTCTSCAGCAAACAATCCTGTGGCAGATGCTGTAGAGAAGGAAGTTCAGATTGGGCTATAGCACTACTCTGCATGCACATAGAGATGGCAAACGAGATTTTCAAGGTTACATGATGTTGTCACGCTTTGATGCAAGCAAAACATGTAAACTCATATTCTTCTCCGATCTAAAGCTCATTATTGTCAGAACAGACATGTATCATTTTCAAACCAGAAATAGCTTTAAAAAAATCAAGAATAAGACAAAACATAAAGCAAGTGCTGACATTACATGTAACACTGGCTTCCTATTGTTTTAGAGCTGTATTGAGCTGTTTGGAGGTGATCTGGGAAGCTTAGACAAGATCTTGCTCTCAGCTTTTGAGTTTGATGTCTCTGGTGTAATCAAGCAAAGCAGGTATGGATGTGTGTGGATTACTTTAACAACTACAAAAAGGAAAAAGACACCAGATAAGATGTCTCAATTCCATTTTACCCACCTAAAAAAAGGAAGAAGATATAACTAGCTAWAAACTAGTGTGAGCTCGTCGGTGTTTCTAATGAAACAGTAATCATGATAAAAAGGTAAATTATACACCGTGAAAAGATGAAAAAACTTACTGACGTTTCGGATGCTAGTCCTTCGTTGGAGTAAAAAAGGAAGGACAACTTGGCTAATTATTAATGACTGATTGCAGAAAAAAATTGACAAATACATATAGTTTTGAGACGTAGCTATACACCATTCTCATAATCTGACAAGTGCACAAAARCAAGGTCAGTCAGTCATTAGTTCRCAATAARATAATTAAAAGCWGAWAAAATGCRTTTATAGRAGAAAASTATAGAAATTAACCTKTTGTTTTGRCCTGAATTCGYGMTAWCCACCTTTATTTTGAAATTAAGCTCAGCCTYGCAAGATGACTGGGTGACCTCATTTTTGTGTGCTCGTCAGCCATTATGASAACGGTGTATAGGTACAGACAGAGACAGGGGTAGGGCGGATTTGAAATCATTCTGGATGATGATAAATAATAATATTATGACATTGGTTTTTGTTGGTGCAGTGAGTCTTTTGGTAGTTGGTGGTTTGTTGCTCATCTTACAGACCTGTTGGAGCATGCAGGACAGTTAGATTCTAATCAAATAAGGTAAGCAAATCTGTTATTTCATTGTTCTGCCCCTTGTTACCACTGTCTCATGTCTCTACATGCCCTAGAATTAAGCTAAAATGTCTCAGGAATAGGGTTAATTCCTTWATTCCATGCAGTATTACAATAATATTGCCTCTCACTTCTGGGGTCTCTGTGTGAGTTGAGTTTGTTAGGTTCCTCCTTGATTGGAGGATTTCTCTCTGGATTGTCCAGTTTTCCTCTCAGCGAGTCACTTAACACACTAAATAGACCTATCCTGAATTCCCTTGACTGACCACGAAACAATGGTTTCAAGTCGAGGTTGAACTAGATTCTTTTATTCATCAAGTTCAACCTTRACTTGAAACCATTGTTTCGTGACCAGTCAAGCAAATTCRGGATAGGTCTATTCCAATTTGATCTGTGAGTTAAAGGCMCAGCTTAGGCTCAGGTCTAAAGTCGAACTTCACATGAGCCRAACCTAATAACATCATATMAGACTGTCTTGTTATCCATKGTTTCAATTTGGTTCAGCTCATGTGAAGTTTGRTGTTTGRCCTGACCCTAAGCTGTGCCCTGAYTTTGATCAGTTTGCSACCAATCAMCTTTCCTGAGAAAAGAAWGTTAATATTGATGTTTTGTTTACTTCTAGTTCTCCTATCAGTTTGAGAGAGTTTTTACTGTTGGAATATTCTGCTAGCCTGATGTCCCACCATAGGTATGGGTACAAAGCTGAGTATCTTATTGCTGTCATTTTAAGCATGGTCATGTGTATTGTACTTTTGATTGACAACAGGGGGAAAATGCGCAATGTTTTCCCATTTCAGACCACATGTGATAATAAGATTCTTTGTTTGAGTTGTATCCATATTCATGTGTCTTCTCATGTGTCAACTATTAAACAAAGAAATGATACCCTAGGGAATGACACATAGTGTGAAATAGGAAAACATGATTCCTCCCAAGCTGGAAATGTTTATTAACCTTTAAAAAAATTCTTTTGACCTTTTTCATTATTATCTATTTTCTTTAGTCTTTGGCAAATTGCAGTTGATTACCTCAAACAGTGTCCTCAATACGGCAGGTAATTTACAACATTTTATTTAAAGTTGAAGACTATTTTCTAAAGACAAGGTCCATTGCATGGTGCTGCAAGGTTTAAAAAGAGGGGGAAAGTAAATAAAAATTGACTTACGTCGTGCAACTGTTTTCTCCCTGCATGGTCAACCAAGTCCACTCTTCAAGCAAACTCTTTGTGTTCTTAGTTATAAACCTTGGTATTTTCCTTCCCCAGAGCTCACTTGGAGGAGTATGTAGAACACCTTCCTTTAGAGACTGAGAAAAAAGCACTCAAAGTGTTGAGACTATGTGAAGACCTGGACATGCCTGTACAAGGTTGGCTACTACTAACCTAAACTTTTAACAGTTCCTTTTTCCCCTCTCAACTCAGTGGAGTCTGGAGTCTTACCTGTTTGGTCAAATGGGGAGTGGGGACAAGTTTGAAGCGGCACGAAGGGAGAGTGAAAGAAGTTTCTCTGTGTGTTGCATCACTTGCTCCCACTCCCCAATCAACCAAGTTAGGTAAAAACTTGACTCRGCTGATTTAGAAGGGAAAAGAGGGTGGATCTGTTTAAAGTCTACTACTAACCTAGTATTTTTACAAGCAMTATTTCTTCTTCCATACTGTTTGCAAATCCTAATTTCCTCTAGTGCTTTATTGAGCATTGTCCTTTCACAGTTACAACTTCTGCTGTGTCCCAAATAATTAGAAAAACCTCTCACCTCCCTTATGCTTCATAAGCCCTGTGGACCCCACCCTTATGCAGGGACAACAGAAGGGGAGAGTGGAGGGAAGGTTTAAGGCTCAACCTTTACTAATATCCTTGAAATGAAGTCTTCATCTCCTGTATCAGCCGCTCCCCCACCCCTCACCCCCATCATTTTTAAAGTTCCTCCACAGCCCTTGTCCTAACTCTTAAAGCGTGACCCTGACCCCTGACCCTTTYTCATTAAGGTCTTGAAACTGGAAGCCTTTCAAATGAAAGGGCATTTCATACTATAAAATAGTGCAAATATCGAGAATTGGGAATTATTTGTGTCCACAGCACAAAGCATTTGTAAAACGATGAGTATGCGAGCGTTAAGAAACTCTCGTCTTGGTTCAGCGCTATCTTGGTGCCTCAGATCTAAGGTACGTTACRGGAAAAACCGCTGTAAAGTAGATTGAAGCCCTGTTATGCCCGGAACAGTGAAAGGCTTCGTATTAAAAGAGTAACCATATTAAGCRGGCCACTTGTAATGTAAGAGTAAGGTACATAGAATAAAAATAAAATAAAATAAACGAAAAAACAAAAAACAAAAGACCTAACATAGACCCCCTCAATGAGCGTTACGCTCTTGGGGTTAAGGTATCGACAAAATATGTTTAATTGAAGAAAAAAAAAARAACTAAACAAACAACAAAACAAAACGAAAATCAAACAAAAAACAAAAAAAAATCAACAAAAAACAAAAACAAAGCAAAAATACAACAAAACAAGAAAAAGAAAAAGAAAAGAGTAAGGTACATCATTAGCATAATAAACATGCATCTATTTTAGCGGCGTCCATATTTTAAGCGAGTTTCTGTTGAGCAGAGTTCCTATGTAGATGATCCCCAGTGACCACAAACACTTTTTTCAACTTTTAATACGTGTAGCTTTAGCATTAAATATCTTAAAAAAGGAAAACTGGTTGAGAGAGAGGAGGGTATGGAGTCCTGTTCAGTGTTGTCAAATATGTTTATTATAGAGCGCATGCAGTAAAACAATGAAATAAAAACAAAGTTGATACTAACAAGTAGTATCTATTTAGTGACTAATAGTTGCTATCACTCAACTAGAACATTTATTAAACAAAAGACACAAATGGTCTCTTGTGTATTTGTCTTTGTATGATGAATGTTCTGGTTGAGTGATAGCAACTATTAGTCACTAAATAGATACTATTAGTTAGTATCAACTTTGTTTTATTTCATGGTTTTACTGCATGCGCTCTATATTGGTGTTTTTCTTAATCACTAAGATTTATGTCTCTGTAGGACTCTGCCTTTGCAGCGTTCATCTCTGACAGGTAAGAATAAACCATAATGTTTTATCATTTCACATCTTTTTAGTCCAAGGCCTCTTCATCTAGACTCTTCCACAGTCTCTCCCTCGTCCATTCCGTCTCCACGCTTAGAGACTGTAACGGTACAATGACCGAAAGGACTTATGCGTCCCGCAAACTTGRACCCRGCGTGCTTTTGGAACCAAAATACTCGTACACAGTCTCTCTCGTTTTCGCCGCCATCTTGAAAATATTGAAACCCTACGCGCCCACACAGGCCCCATAGTTCAAAGGTTGAGAAAAAACTGGGGCGAGTTGGCATTGCCATAGGTTTAAGAGCTTGATATTTGACATTTCAAACTGTGTCACCTGTTCGGCAATAGAAGCTTTGCACCATC